AATCCTGTTGTCGGGTGATTGCTGATGGCAATGGCAGATGGAAAACTAGTTGAAAAGTAGGAGAAACTTTACGTAATGCTTATGATAAGTCCCACGTTACGTTCAATGATGGAGTTTCCTTCAGTGGAAAAGTAATCGAAATGGAACCGCTCACATAGCCTGCAGCGCGGTCTATAGTGCAACTGGAAAAGTTGTTTTATGATCTAGTACTCTACTAGTACTAGTAGATTGTATATCAGTATACCCTTCCAGGCTCTGAAGAAGGCGATACTGCCGAAACGTCAGCTAGCGTTGTATTGTATTGTGTTTTTATGGAAGTAAATGTATGCTGTTTAAAAACCTCGCGATTGCTGAACAAGAAAACGACACATTCATATTCCAATGCCGAGGTCAAGAGAAAGTCGATCCTGGGAACTATTTCAATTTACTGTTAAAAGTGCCATTTGTACTGTACTAGAGGGTTCATCAGACTTCATTTTAGTCATTGTCTTTGTTTTCGTTTTTAGACGTCACTTTGTGTACTGCTTGATTTCTTTCAGGGCACAAATCAGTAGTCTTGGCGTCAGTGCGATCCGAACTCGAATTAGAATGTGAATGGAGCAATGAAGAATTGGTAAGCATGCTTCCTATGAGTAGTAAGTGTAGAACTAAGATTTCTAGTGGATCACAGGTTATGTGGCGCGTGTGGTGCAGTGCTAAGGGGCCCCCTGAAATACTTATGGGATAGATCTCCGCGCTCCTGACCCACCAAGCCTTCCATCTCTCCGCGGTCTGCAATTTGATACCACACTTGTCTGGGAGGATAGCAGCACTGACTCGATATATCGGTAGACTACCGAGATTCATTGTACTGGCCATCGTTCCAGATTTCTGAGTATAACGCATCTATCGACTTCAGTTCTTTCAGATAACATCTATAAACATCAAATGTGAAGAAATTTATAATAATCTTAGTACAGGCATCTTTTTGCTGTGAAGTTGTTGAAAGCAGTCTTTGTGATTTAACAGGCCTTTCATGGATAGAACCTCCTATAGAGTGAGAAATGCACTTCCATTTAGGATCCTTCGCTGATTTTTTAAACACTTAAGTAGTGAAACTTGCTTGAGCTTCCTAAGTATGCTATATTGCTATTCCAGAGCACGAAAGGTATTGAGTTATTGCGACGTGTAGCTAATTTTACTGCTCAGCTGCCAGATTCTCGATTTGAATCCAGTTGTTATCATTGTGAGGTTAGTGTGGTGTGGGAGCCCACTCCTGAAAAAGAAAACTATAGGTTTCCGTTTAGGTCTGCTTCCAGAGTAAGACATGGAAGCAATGGTTGCTGTTTACACCGTGTCGGTGTGTATTTTGCAACGAATGCGTTGCTGTGTTCTTTTTCGAGATTCGTAACAATCAAAAGGTGTCAAATTTTTCGTCACCTTTTTCTTTCTTTGTACTGAATAATGCTTATTTGAGGTTTGACCTCTGGGTTGTTGACCACTGAATGCAATTCTTCGGCTTCCCAACAGATTATTCAAAGTATTATAAGAGAGGTATGCTCATTATAGTAATCTTTATGCCAAATGCATTATTGGATCGCTTCTCACTTGTTGATTGGTATAATTTAGCTATGTGCTTAAGAAGGAATTCGAGCGATATGAAAGGATACTTTTTGAACGAGCACTAGCACTTTGCGGGTGATATCTTTTCTTGACTGCGTAAAATGTGCCAGAAGCCAGTACTTATAAGTGAAAGGTAAACCTTTACTAGGGTAACACTCCTTCTTAGGATTAGTTACTTGTAATTTTTCTTCAATTTTCTTATGTTCCTCTTATATATTCCTCCTTTTTTCCGTTTACCTCACTATTCAGGATGTTGCGGAATGTGTGGCTATACGAGAGAGATGAGAGTTGGATTGATGTGAACAGTGAGCCGTGTTGACGGTAACCCATCCGTATTGAGCTTGCATTCTCTGGTACTTTATTTATTTTCGCAATACTTTTTTTCGAGCGATTTTTTTTTTAGAAAATTGGTGAGTGCAATGGAATGCGGCGCTCTAAATGTGGCGCTAAGTTTTCTTGACTGTATTACCACCTCCTTGATGAGAAAAACTAACATCATCATAGTACGGAAGACGTAAGATTTCAGTCAACTTTTACTCTACTGCAGTGCTACATTTTCTGCTCTGTGTTGGATCAGTCCACTTACAAACTTATTCTATCAGATCAGTTATAGTATGGTTCCTTCGTGGTTTTTTTGCAGTTCTAGGTCTTAGAACGAGTTTCCAAATAGTGCCTTTATCTTTGACTCAATGTTAGAATTGTCTATTCATTGTCTTTTCTCTTTCTTTGTTTTGTTCTATGTCTTTCTCTATTTTCCCATGGCTTTAGAAAAAATGAATCAAGATGTGGATTTGTGAATAACACAGTTGCTACTCTTTGACATGATCATTGCGAATTACATTTATTTCTTCTGCAAACAACCTTCATTGTATCACTAGTCCGCAACGGAGATCCCTGTCTCATTTGTCTTATGTTTTGACTTTTTTTGGGCATAAGAGCTTATATAACCTTTATGTAGGAACAACGACGCGTACTTATGAGAACAGTTAGTGCTTAATCCGGTAATTTAAGAACTTCGGAGAGTTGTGGTCGTACTGAAATGTGTAAACGTTTAGAATAACTGCTTGTGCCAACCACTTGGTCGAAGTAATAACTGCATTTCACCACGTTGGAGACGAATAGGACTTCGGGGTTTATTGGGAAAGTGTAGTTGAAGAAATGATGAAGATTTGGAGATTCTTTGATTTGGATCGGTAGCGAGATGACTAATTGGGTGAGCTGTGATATTCCTTCCTTATCTGTGTAAACAAAACAAACAAAATGGCTTTGAATACCATCAAAGCTCTGGAAGTTCGTGTTTTGCGTTATACGGCGAGGAGATGTGTTGTTATTAGAAAGCTAACTGAGAGACAAGCAAAACGAAGGACCAGCATGGTGCGGTGGTGAACGCATTAACCTCTGGAAAGGGTAGTACCGTGTTCGATCACCAACGCAGACACCTGCGCTCCGCAGTTTTGCAGATATCGCAGCATCATTATGGTTGTGTTCTTATTGTTTTGTCCTATACTTTTCTCAATAATCCATCAGGTTTCTAACACGTTTAACAGTGTTGTTGTCCTACGTATAAATTTTTCGCAATCTGTTCTAATACTGGTAAGAAGTCGTATTATCACCTACATCTCTTTGGAGTTTTGATATTATCACCTATATCTCTTTAGAGTTTTGAATGTTTGCCGTAGATTCAAAGTGTACATGAAGTCTTCTAGGATAGATGGGCGGGTGGAAGCTGGAAACTTTTCGCTTTGGTTTGATGGTCATATTTCCAGTTGCTGCATTTTGGTTTTTCAACCAACCGTCTCTATTCAAATTCTTTGTATGTAGTATACGTGCCTTTCCATACCTTTGAAATTGGAGCGATTCTGTTGTATTCAGATGAAAGGCTTTAAGTTTCCTGATAATCGTGAAGGTGATGCAGCTATTGCTCAATTCAAAGAACAACTTCTTGCCGAAAAACGGAAGAAAGAGTATGAGGCACTTCTGCGAGAGCAAATGGCTTTTGAGGAAGCTCGTCGACAAAGAGAAAAGCTATATTAGGGAATTATTATTTATAGAACCTCTGAAATAGTTCTCATATGAGGTTACTGTATATTCGCACTTCTGATGTTCTGTGAAATCAGCTGTAATAAACTGGTTATCCACTTCTGAATACCTTTCTAGTGTTCTTAAAATTTTTACTCTATTGTGCTGTAAAGTTTTCCATTCTTCACAAGCGTCTCTCAAGAGGTTTGGTCTTACCGCGTCGTTCCGTACCGCCTTATCATACATTTTCTTTGGAATTCATCATATCGTAAACAGTAGTGTTAAGCATTCTCAAGGTTAATGATACGTCGAGCGGCAGATATGGATGATGACGATGATGGACCATCCGAAGCTACAATTCAGCTGACAGCTAAGGTTTATATGCTTACATCTGTTGTATAGTCAAGTCTTTCATGGTTTGTGTGAATTCTTCCTTTGATAAACTTACACGAGGTTGATAGTCAGTCTTCATTCGGCTAATGTTTCGATGTCTTTGTCTTCATCAGAGCCGATTATGCAAGTCGATGGTCTACAGGTGGTCCGATGGTTGACTCCGATCATCGGCTCCGATGAAGACGAAGACGTGGAAACATTAGCCGGATAAAGACTGACTATCAACCTCGTGTAAGCTTGTCAAAGAAAGAATACATATTGATTGGTTATACCGAGGTTAAAGCAGGATTGACCTTGAAATATTTATGGTTTATTTCACAAAGTTGTTTAGATTTCAGATGGCTGCTAAATTCCGAAAGGCTTTTCCGCTGCGTGAAGAATCCGCGTTTCGAAAACCAACACCGGTTGCGGCCCCATCTTTGTCGCAAATCTCGAAACGACTAAATTTTGACGATAGCTTTAGTTCGGTTTCAGGTGCGTTAAATCCTGCATTCTGAAACATTTGCAAATCATACCAAATTTTCAGTAATAAGTCCAAATGTAAAGCTTGTCGAACTCAAAGAGGAGGTGGATTCATTGAAAAGGCATTTAAACATCGCCCGTGGGGATATACAGCGTTTAAAATCATCAGAAGATGTGGGATGTCTGAGCTATGCATTTTGCCTTCAGAACTTTTTGTCTAGTTTCTTTAGTTTTTCGTTAATTTTTACCTTAGTAACTTATTAATTCCAGACTGAGAAAAAGAAATCGGAGCTCCTACAATTGGAAATTGTACAGTTGAAAAAAGACAAAGAAGTCATCAAACAGAGTTACACTACTAAGTTGGATGAGGTGAAACACGAAATCGAGGAAGTGAGTAGTTATGTGGACATCTAAGGTATTTTCTTAGGGGGCGCGTGTAGCGCGGAGGCACCCTGCACTACAAATGAAATCGACCCCGAGCTCAAGACTGACCAAGAGTTCCATCCCTTCGGGGTCGGCAGATTGGTACCAGGCTTGTCTGGGAGGCCAGTAGCACTGGCTCGATACATCGGTAGGCCACCGCGAGTCATTGTAAAAGCCAGATGTGCATTTAGTCGCTTCCCACGATGCTTGATGAAGTCGAATGGATGGCGCATCCAACAAGGATTGGTGAACGCCAAGACCTTTATTATTTTTACTTTTTTACAAAGTATTTTTTCTAACGCTTTTTCGTTTCACAGGCCTTACTTTCACGGGATAAATGGCGAGAGGCTACTACATGTTTCTACCGCTATTTTCAATGTGCCAAGACACGGTTGGCTTTTGTGGAAAAAGAACTACTTTTAAGAGGATTACTGAATGAAGATCTGAAACGTGCAGTGAGTGCATCAAATATGAAGAGGGTATGAGAAGCGAAAATGTGACAGACGAAAAAAAAACGAAAGAGTGTTACTCTAAATAAGTTTCATTAAAACATGCCCAACGACTCTTAATTTTGTACGGTGGCTGATCGATGTGAGCACTATTTTTCCGCCGGATGCAGTATGCATTAAAAATTGGTTTGGAGAAAGCTATTTATGAATTGCTTTCTATAGGCAGTAGCTTTCCATCGACCTTGTCTGTAATAACATTTGTTTTGGATAAGCTATCAGTTGGGCACGGAAAACTTACCTAGTAAGCGTTGTAGTAAAATAAAATGTGAAGGATATGCGTTGAAATAGGTGCGTATGGTTCATTCACATAGTCGTGCCTTCTCCACTCATCTGAGAGCACACATACACACATACAGAGGTTTTATTATTGACTACAATTTCGAGCATTCTTTTGTTCCTTCTTTATCTAAATTTTTTTATGGGTAAAACAGAGGTCCTTGTAATTGGTAGTTCAAACGTCGTTACATAGCACACAGCGAATTNTGAATGAAGATCTGAAACGTGCAGTGAGTGCATCAAATATGAAGAGGGTATGAGAAGCGAAAATGTGACAGACGAAAAAAAAACGAAAGAGTGTTACTCTAAATAAGTTTCATTAAAACATGCCCAACGACTCTTAATTTTGTACGGTGGCTGATCGATGTGAGCACTATTTTTCCGCCGGATGCAGTATGCATTAAAAATTGGTTTGGAGAAAGCTATTTATGAATTGCTTTCTATAGGCAGTAGCTTTCCATCGACCTTGTCTGTAATAACATTTGTTTTGGATAAGCTATCAGTTGGGCACGGAAAACTTACCTAGTAAGCGTTGTAGTAAAATAAAATGTGAAGGATATGCGTTGAAATAGGTGCGTATGGTTCATTCACATAGTCGTGCCTTCTCCACTCATCTGAGAGCACACATACACACATACAGAGGTTTTATTATTGACTACAATTTCGAGCATTCTTTTGTTCCTTCTTTATCTAAATTTTTTTATGGGTAAAACAGAGGTCCTTGTAATTGGTAGTTCAAACGTCGTTACATAGCACACAGCGAATTTCAAAGATGTAGTTTCAGTAATATTCAACTTAATGCTTAATGGAATGACTTTTTTTGAACCACAGCAATAATAGTCAATATGTCCATCTACATATATATATATATATATACATATATACATAAATATAGATGTTCCTACGAATTGCCCTTCTTCACCCATTGAACAGCGACACCAACAACAATAAGATCTAACCAACCTCGCCTCAGCGAAATAAGGGCAGTTCATAGGAACATAAATGTTAAACCTCAATAAATTTGGGAATTATTCAGAACAGTGTCTAGTCCAATATCTACAGGCTGTTCAGTTAACTTTTTTTTTAGTTAACTTCAGCTTGGACCTCAACAGAGTGCAGTATCGAAGACAATGTTGAAGGTGCCATCGTTTATTTACAATTATTTCTACTATACACCTATCTAACATGCTAGTATACTTTTAGAGAATCTTCACGAACTTATGAAGGGTGCTATTTTCACATTGGAAGAGTTGGACAGCAGTCTCGAAGAAGGAACAGGTATATGCCACTATGACCCTTTGTACTATTCCATTTTGAAAATTGTAGTCGTTAAAAACTTTTTCCTAATTTCTATATTTTATTAGAGCATAGCAAAGAATTACTGGATACTAGTGCCGCAGATGGTTCAGTGTTTCGTTGTAATGAAAGTAACGAAGTGAGTGCCAATGCCAGTACAGTCATAGTTGAAGGTAAGTAGGAGTTACCATTAGAGAACCGTTGTACGTTTTTTTCCACACTGGTTAGGTCCGTCTTGTAGATTCTAGAAATTTACCAAAGACGTAGCAACTTATTTTCTTTGATCAATGTAAACCGTAGTTGTTTTAACTCAACTTTTTTTCAATCGATACATTTGCGTTGGTGCTTAATTTTCGATGGTGAACCATGAAGAGCGCCTCTTCATCACACAATGTGAAAGTCTCTTATAACTAATACCGATCGAAATCTTTCCGAGCAGTGACAAATACTCATAGTTAGCAGCAATCTTTTTTGTCAGTCCATGTGTACATTATACAGGGACTCGGAGCGTAAGCCATGCTGATAAACCATATTATACTAGCTACGTTTTTTCTTAGACTGTAATATCTTTGAAATAACCAAGGGGATGCTGACATATGAACAAAATTCGGAATCTAACCTGGACTTTGAACCCGCGATTACTGTTTCTGATGGCTCATGGTGCGTCATGTGCTATCCACCACACCAACCGAGGCCTTTGCTTCGCCTACACTTCAGCCACTTTTACTCTCGTGGTGCTTAGCGGTCTTTCGTCAGCGGGAGCGATATGGGAAACACATATCGGCATTTAAGCTAAAACTGCGGTCAAAATCACAACATGTTAACTTTTTACTTAGGGCCTTCGTTGATATGGTGGGTAGCACATGAGCCTCTGGTAAGAGTAATCGCGAGATCAAACACTATCTGAGGTCCCGAGCTTTGCTCACATCTCAAAATTGCTGTGGTTGTATTTCACATCATGCTCTGCCTTGAAAAAGAATAGGCACTAAATAAAAGTTAGAAAATTGCTCAGACCATACCCAATGCAAAATCTGCGTGATGGGAAGTTGCCGTTATAGTAGGAAAGGTGTCGCAGGAAAGTTTGCCTGCAAAAGATACAGTTGGAAAGGAAGTAAGTCAAAACCTATGTTTGCAGAAATTCCCCAGATAAGATCCACCTATAGCTCGTTTTGTCCACGATATGTGAAAGGAACTGGTGAAATTTTGGAATAAAGAAAAGGATTTGGCAAGACCATATTGTACTACTTGTACGCAGTGAAAGTATTTCTCCACATGGAGTGATTTTCAATGCATTTTGTACTTCCGTGCTCTTTATATTCTGAAAATTTCAGGTAATCAGTCAATTCTTTTTAATCAAAGCGAATCAATTTTAAATACTACACTCGCCTACACTTCGATTGACTATGAAAAGGATGAGCGTATTCAACGCTTAGAATTAGAGAATAGTCGACTTCAAGACCGACAAAATGTGTTGCTGTACGAAAATTACATCTCCTATTTTCCCATAAACGACTGGGATTTCTCATGGTCTTCACTTTTAGTGAGCGATCTCAGAAATACTTACTGATGGAGGAACAAATGCGTAGTACTGAGCACAGATTCCACTTATTAGAGAAGAACATGGAAGAGATTTTAGTAAGTTAACCTTTGAATGAT